TTTCATGGCTGCAGTCACCATCTGCAGTGATTTTGGAGCCCAAGAAAATAAAGTCTGTCACTATTTCCATTGTTTCCCCATCTATTTGCCATGAAGTGACGGGACATGGCAAATACTTGGAAGTTTCTAGGTCTGTCAGCTAAAGATGTTATCTGTTGAGTTTCCATGATGTCTTGCCTTTTTTTTTTTTAATCATGGACATACTATGTAGACTTGTGCTTCCCAGTATGCAAAGTATAATTTCTTGCTGATCAAATTGAGACTGAAGCAAAGGAGTAACTTGTCCAGGGTTATAGATTGGAGATTCAACCATGATTTCAGCTTGCCTTCAAAACACACACTGTTCTCCTTTTAGAGGCCGGGGATGGGGAGGTGGGGAGCCAGGGCAGAGTATTCCTCTTGTCTGGTGTTTTTTCTGAGCTATACCTGTCTTCCTTTGCTGGAGTCTAAGCTTTGTGAGGACAGGGATTGTGCCTCACTTGTTTCAAGGCTTTAAGAGCCCTGCTTATTACTCTACTGGGTTCATTTAATGGATATTGAGTGAATGAACATGAGTGAATATTGTGTAATCTTTTTTAGAATACAGACTATAAGCAGCTTTTTAAGAAAAAAGATAGTACGGCATGTCTCTCGAGCAAGCCTGAACTATTTCTAGCCTGTGAGAGGTTATATTTGCTCATCATTTGTATTCTGTTAGCTTCCCAAAAGAATTTGTGTCTGCAGCATTGGGCCCATTGGATACATGTACAGTTTCGTAAGGTTCTTGACCACCAGGACTTAACATTCATTTTGAGCTTGCTAATATGAAAAATGACTTGAATGCTGGAACATAGGATGAGGATATGGGCCTTCATAGCTTTGGAGAGGAAAGGATATTGAATGAAAGAAACTTTCATGAACATGTAAAGTATGCTTTCACATGTTTTCTCATTTACTTTAAAAGAAACCTATACAAAACAAGGTACATATTTTCTTCATATTTACAGATGATGAAGTTGAGGATTTGTTTAAAATCATGGTGATTAAATATAGAAGTTGGATCTTAATCCCAGGTTGTCCACTCCAAACCCCATAGTCTTTCATATTTCACTTTTTTTTTTTGGTAGTTAGTAGACTACCCTTTTCGGAGAAGGCAATGGCACCCCACTCCAGTACTCTTGCCTGGAAAATCCCATGGATGGAGGAGCCTGGTAGACTGGTCCATGGGGTCGCTAAGAGTCAGACATAACTGAGCGACTTCACTTTCACTTCTCACTTTCACACATTGGAGAAGGAAATGGCAACCCACTCCAGTGTTCTTGCCTGGAGAATCCCAGGGACAGGGGAGCCTGGTGGGCTGCTGTCTATGGGATCACACAGAGTCGGACACGACTGAAGTGACTTAGCAGCGGCAGCAGACTACCCTTTTAGTGTTGAAACTTAAGACGTTTCCAAGTAATTTGAAGTCATGGTTTTTACATTTTGTGACTAAAAGTAAAGATTTACATAATGAAGTGAAAATAGTGTCAAATGTTAAACCTTATATATGCTTACTGTAGCTTTAGATTCTTTTTAAAAAATATTTATGAATGTATTTAGCTGCATCAGATCTCTGTTGGGTTATGTGGGATCTTTTGTTGCTGAGCATGGACTGTCTAGTTGTGGCACACAGGCTCTCTAGTTACAGCACAAGGGCTCAGTTGTTGAGCGGCACATTGGAGCTTACTTTCCTGACCAGGGGTTGATACCAAGTCCCCTGCATTCCAAGACGGATTCTTAACCATTGGACCACCAGGGAAGTCCCAGCTGTAGGTTCTTTTGAAATTTAGAATTGGTTTAACAAATATGTAAAGGTCACTCAAATGCAGTAGAAGTCTATTATTAAGCATATCTTCTTTTTTTTTTAAGCATATCTTCTTATTCTGACTCCCAGAGGGCAAATTTCTATCATATGTACATGTCCCTGAGGCCCCAGCCCAGTGCCTTGTACTAAAGTACTTAGTATGTAAAGAATTGTATGAAATTAATAAATTGGAAGCAAACATAAAGAATTTTATTTCCTTGAAATCATAGTTATTAAATAAGATCCTTCTCCCATGCTGTGTGGCCCCTTCCTCCCTTTCATTTTCTGGATTGTCAGCTGAGTGTTTTCATTCTGCATCATCACCCCCCCAAGACACACACACGTGTGCGTGTGTGCACTTGCTCGTTTACGAGTGTATTTTTAAGAAGGATTTGGGCTGGGAGTTGAGGAAATGTATTAATATTAAAAGTTGACATGGCATTGTCTATAAGTTTATCCACATAAGAAATTTTATTTTTCTGTTACTGGTTGATTTTCACCAAATTTGAAGGATATTTTGGAGTGGTCTAATTTAAAGTATAGATTGCACGCTATATATAAAATTAACTTTGATTGGCCCTAGAGGGGAACACCTCAAAATTTTCCAGAGAATTTTAAACTGGGGCACAGAGAGAAGCTCATGCAATTCTAATCTGTAGAAGCAAAACTGCATATATTAAGGCTCCACGACCAGAGAAAATACTTTCATGTAAAACTGAGCGTGGAAGTAATACCGGATTTGAAGTGTTAGTTTGTGATTAGTTCTTTTCATGTGAGCAAATCTACCTAATACATTTTTTTTCTTTTTTTTTTCCTAATACATTTTTATTTGTTGTTGTTTAGTCGCTAAGTTGTGTCCGTCTCTTTTGTGACCCCATGAACTATAGCCCGCCAGGCTCTTCTGTCCATGGAATTTCCCAGGCAAGAAGACTGGAGTGGATTGCCATTTTCTTCTCCAGGGAATCTTCCTGACCCAGGATCAGACCTGTCTTCTGCATTGGCAGGTGGATTCTTTATCACTGAGCCACTAGGGAAACCTTCATGCTTCCATTTAAGGGATTTACTAATTTAAATGTGGTTACTGCTTTTCTGGATTACTATGATGGTATGGTCAGTCACCCAGAGCCAGACATTCTGGAGAGCTAAGTCAAGTGGGCATTAAGCACTACTGTTAATAAAGCTAGTGGATGTGACAGAATTCCAGTAGAACCCTAAAGGATGATGCCATCAAGGCGTTGCCTTCATTATGTCAACAAATCTGGAAGACCCAGCAGTGGCCGCAGGACCAGGAAAGGTCAGTCCTCATCCCAATTCCAAAGAAGAGGAGGACTAAAGAATGTGCTAGCCATCAGACAGTTACACTCATCTCCCATGCTAGCAAGGTCATGCTTAAAATCTTGCATACTAGGCTCAGCATCATGCCATCCAGGAACTTCCAGATGTCCAAGCTCTGTTTAGAAAAGGAAGACGAACCAGAGATCCAGTTGCCAACTTTCACTGGATCATAGAGAAAACAAAAGGGAATGCCAGAAAAACATCTACCTCTTCCAGAAAAATATTGACTACACTAAAACCTTTGCCTGTGTTGATCATAATAAACTGTGAAAAGCTCTTAAAGAGATGGGGATACCAGACCATTTTACTTGCCTCCTGAGAAACCTTTATGTGGGTCAAGAAACAATGGTTAGAACCCTGTATGGAACAACTGACTGGTTCAGGATTGAGAAAAGAGTATGACAGGGCTGTCTGCTGTCATGCTGTTTGTTTAATGTATACGCTGAGCACATCATGAGAAATGCCAGGCTGGGTGAGTTACAAGCTGGAATCAAGACAGGCAGGAGAAACATCAACAATCTGAGATATGCAGATGATACCACTCTAATGGCAGAAAGCAAAGAGGAACTAAAGAGCCTCTTGATGAGTTTGAATGAGGAGAGTGAAAGAGCCGGTTTAAAACTAATTATTAAAAAAAACTAAGAGCATGGCATCTGACCCCATTACTTCGTGGCAGATAGAAGGGGAAAAGGTAGAAGTAGTGACAGAGTTCCTCTTCTTGGGCTCTAAAATCACTGTGGATGGTGACTGCGGCCATGAAATCAGAAGATGATTGCTTCTTGGCAGGAAAGCTATGGCAAACCTAGACAGTGTGTTGAAAAGCAGAGACATTACTCTGCTGACAAAGGTCAATCTAGTCAAGGCTGTAGTCTTCCCAGTGGTCACATACAATTGTGATAGCTGGACCATAAAGAAAGCAGAGCACCAAAGAATTGATGTCCTGTGGTGCTGGCAGAGACTCCTGAGAGTCCCTTGGACAGCAGGAAGATCAAACCAGTCAATCTTATGGGAAATCAACCCTGAATACTCATTGGAAGGACTGATGCTGAATTTGAAATTCCAGTATTTTGGTCATCTGATATGAATAGCTAATTCATTGCAAAAGTCCCTGATGCTAGCAAAGATTGAGGGCAGAAGGAGAACAGGGTGTCACAGAGTGAGATGGCTGGATGGCATCATTGATACATTGGACATAAACTTGGGCAAACTTTTGGGAGATGGTGAGGAACAGAGAGGCCTGGCATGCTGCAGTCCGTGGGGTCGCAGAGTCAAACACGACTGGGCAGCTAAACAACAACGCTTCTCCAGGACAAGGCCTTCTTGACCAGTGGTAGCAGAGTAGGAGACCAGATTAGTGCTATTGTTGGTGGGTAGGAGAGGCCCAACTATGATGTGTATCCTTTCTTCCTGCTGTTGACTTTTTCTTTAGGATAGGAGGCTTTTTATCAATATTTCATGATACCTGGCATTTGCAGGAAGTTGTTGATGACTTATGGAGTCCCAATAATTATGAGACCCATATAAAGCCCAAGAGATAGTGGGAAATTGGGAAATCTGCATAGACCAGAGGGAACAGCTGCAGTTCTAGCCACTACACAAGTCGATGTTGCAGAAAAGTATGGAAAATCAGCAGAGGTTGGAGCATGGGACCACCTTTGGCTCGCTGATCATTGAAAGCATATGAAATGGAAACTGAGTGTTCCTGGTCACTGATTAAGGACTTCTGACTGTTCAAAAGGAAAGATGGTTTCATCTTTGATTTGGGAGGCTCTGTCAACATGTTCGCAGTTATCTCAAAGGAATTTCTTTCAACTTTTCGGTGGTTTGTTTTTTTTTTCTTTTAGGTTTTCACGCATTTATTGGGGCCATCGGGGTGGGGGCCGCTCCCTGTCAATGGAAGCGCTCACAGTCTCTTCAGCCACTCCAGGCTCGGGCCCTGGGGGTCCTGAGGGTGGCTGGGCACGTCGGGCATGTCCCCGTCGTCTCGGAGGGGCGCTGGGTAGTTGTACGGTGTGGCCCGGTTGATCGTGAGCGAGTACTTGGTGTAGGGGCTGAGTGTGGGTGGGATCACAGCGAGGCCCGCAGTGGCGAAGGATGCCACCAGCACAGCTTCCTTGGCCCAGACATTCTCGAGGAAGGCTGTGACTCTCTCAGCCATCTTGGTCGCGGCGGCTTGGTGGTTTTTTGACACAGTTTTTAACCACTTAATTTCACCTTTTTACAGTTAGTATATAAATTGTTGTTATTGCTTAGTCCCTAAGTCATGTCCAGCTCTTCTTGCAACCCCATGGACTTGTAGCCTGCCAGGCTCCTCTGTCCGTGGGATTTCTCCCAGGCAGGAATAGTGGAGTGGGTTGCTATTTCCTTCTTCAGGGGATCTTCCCAACCCAGGGACTGGACCTGTCTCCTGCATTGGCAGGTGGGTTCTTTACCACTGAGTCAGCAAGAAGGCCCAGTATATAAAATGACTCAATTTAGTCATTTACATGAGTAAAATGGAAGTATTTATAAGTGACTATGATAGTTTCCTGAAAGGATTAGTTAAATGAAGCTTCATGCATATGAGGCTTGTGAGCTGCCAAGTAAAGAGATGGGGAACTCTGTGGACTGGAAGCTGTGAGACTGTTCAGATGGAGTAAAGCTTACATAGAAAGGTGTGGATGACCCCAGAAGACCTGAAAAAGTAAGTTTGGCTAGAGAGAGGATGGTCTGAAATAAATGACATGTGAGAATTGACAGGTAAGGTGGTGATACTGGAAAGTATTGATAGAATTAAATAAGTTTTGTATTCTTGATATGGATATGTCTGTAAGTCCAAATGCCTTTCTAGGGTTTCTGATCATTCTCTGTGCACTGTCTCCTCCACCCCACCTCATCCCTGCCCCCCAATATACATAAACAGAAATGAGAAGGGATAGCATTAAAGGAGCAGAACAGCACAGCAGAAAGAAAACCAAACCAAGGGTGAGGACACCTGGTTTCAGCATTAGCCGTCTGACTTTAACAAGTTGCTCAAAACTTAGCAGATTAAATTTGGATTAACTAGGAATTTAATCAAGTAAGAGACAGCTTTTGTTTTGATTTTTCTGCTATAAATCTTGTCTCTTTTTCCAACTGCATATCCCTGATAATTTAGCACAAATGTAGGTAATGTCACATTAGAAAAATTTTGCCTGTTCATATTGTTTTCTTGACTATAGCTCTGCTATAAGTAATTCATGGAAGTCTGTTCTGCAAGAACTGGGAATAAAGCAATTGAAACTAGTATATTGATTATTAACTTATTGTGTTGAATATGAGAAGAATGGGCAAGTGAAAAGACGTAATAAGATCCAGAAAGAAGAGATTAGAATATAGATTCCTGGTGCTTTTCTTCAGGGTCCTGAATCTAAGTACATTTCTGGCGATGGGGCTCAGAAATACTTAATTTAAAAAAAAAAAACCACTAGTGATTCTGATTAAAAGCTAGAATTGGTGTTCACAGACTTCATTCTACTCATGAAAATCTCTGAGTGCTATCATTTTGTTTTAGAGATGTTGGGAAAGCTGAGATAGCCTTTTTAAACTGTGGCATTGGGTTAGTAAAGCTTCTAAATCCTAGAATAGTACAGCCATTAGATTGTAAGATTACAGGGGACATTAGAGATTATCTAATACAAAAAACAATGAACTATGGTCCATGGACCAAATATGGCCCTCCACCTATGTTTGTAAAATTCTTCAGAACACAGGCACACTCATTCATTTATGTATCATCTCTGGCTGTTTTTGTGCTAACAGAGTTTTGTGTTGTAACAGAGACTACATGGCTCATAAAGCCTAAAATATTTTCTGTTTGGCCCTTTACCAAAAACATTCATGGTCTTTTGAATAGATCAGACCTATCATTTTTACAGATGTAGAAATAATACTCAAAGATAATGAAATACTCCGAGTACACAGCCAGTTGGTGGTCAGAGTGCAAGTATAATTTAGTTCTTGTTTCCGTTCCATTGTTTTTTGTTGGAGGTACTGATGCCTAGGTGAAATCAGAATATAAGTTTGTGGTACAAATTTTGCATGTAACTTCATTCTTTTTTACACTGCAAATTCCTAGAAATGGTAGTCTGACAAGTCTTAGATGACACAGCTGTACAAAAGTCTTTTTAATTTGGGTTAGGGGGTGGAATTTGATCATTGATTCTATTCCTGAGTATAGATCTTCGGTTTGATCTGCCAGGCAGTTTGATAACAGAATCCATTTTTGTTGCTATGTAGCCAAATGGACGGACCATTGACGTGGCTGAGGAAGAAGTTGTCCGAACTGCTCGAGGTGTGACAGCAAAGCAGCCAATAGAGACGGACAAGAAAAATGAAAAGGTAAGTTTGGGAGCCTGTGAAATTATATGCAAGACTCTTGGTAAAGACAGCGACATACAAAGTGTTACATACACCCCCACCCCCCCATTTAAGGAAAACGAAAAATGTGAGTTTATTGTAGTGGATGGATAGATAGTGAAGGTTTAAGTAAGTTGTGTGTTTTTTAAGGAAGGAGGTATCACTTTGTGTTTCTAAACGTGGCTGTGGCATTATTAACTATTCATTCTGCCAAAGACAATTTATTCATGACTTTGAACATCTTTTATATGAATAAGGTTCCAGATATGTTACATATTTCTTACGGGAAGACAAGATTGTGTTACCTTTGCTAACAGTAGACATCTGACATAAAAAGCTTGACAAAATTGTCCTGTTGTAATGTTAAAGTAGATTTCTTTTGTGATAGCAGCATAATCATTTGTTTACTAGATACAATTTGACTTTGTTTAACAAAGGAAAATGTTCTATACTCAGGTCGTTATTAAAAGGTTTGGGTGAAAAAAAAATAATAAAATAAAAGGTTTGGGTGTTCACTGTTAAATTTTCAAATAAGACAGTGTACCATACCCCATAAATGGTACATTCCTGGGATTTTATTCATTTTCTAGTTGCCAGTGTTAGAACTGACCCATTTTTATTTAACTTAATTTAGCTTATAAGTAGGCAAAATGTACAAGAAAGTTAACAGTGGTACCTCCTGCTGTGGGCAAGAGACTTCTTATTTAATTCCTTTTGGTATATTAAAAACTGCGTACATGACCAGTGGCACAACAACAACAGAGATAAACTTGTGTGCCAGCTTTTGCAAATTTCTTATAATATGAGGGCTACCATATTAGAAGCTGCTGTCTCCTCTAGGCACTCCCTTATTATTACCAAACTTCTTGAAAATTAAAAAAAAAGCAAGAAACTGCACACCCTTTTTTTTTTTTAACCCTGTGCATACATAACTCCTTTTCAGGGGAAGCAAACAAAAAAACAGCCACAGGTAGATAAGTAGTTTCTAGAAACCAAGGTACTACAGCTCCTGTCCCATAGAATTGTGGTATGAAGTGGTTGATAAAGTTTCTTAAGGCTTGTAATTTCCAAGTAACACTGAAGAACTGGTGAGACCAATTCTGCCCCTGTAATCTGGTGAAATTAGTCTAGAGCCAAGATAACTGAAGGTAGGATAGCTTAAAATGAAGGATGGTTGTGGGAAAGAATTAAATATATGCCTGACTTGAGCTTTGGCAGTAAAATAAATAGAAAATTACTTGTATTAACAAATAAGCATACAGTTTAGGAATTGTGAATTTACACTGTGAATAGTTTATATGTTTAATATAGGTATATAGGTTTATACTTCTTGCATCTACTGTTTCCTTATTCCTGGGCTTTCTCTCTACTAGTGAGCATTTCATATTTTAACTCCAGCTTCTACTCCCTGAATTACCTTGAAAAGTCTGTAGTTGGAATAATTTATCAGCTACCATTTGTCTCTGATTAATCATATATAGATTGTATGTATCAGGATGTAAAACCACAGGATGATTTAAATCATTCTGAAATCTCTCATGTTAGAAAGTAATTGTAATAGTTGACATTTGTTAAGTATCTTAATGTGGCAGGCATTGTGCAAGGTGAGGTAAATGTATTTACTCATATAATAGGAACAATTTGTTGAGCACTCACTGAGTGTACTTTTAAGACTTTCTAGAATATTTATACATGTTACTTTAATTATCCTTATAAGAACACTGAGGAGGTGGTATTATACTTATCTTAAAAATAAGAAACCTGAGGCTTAAGTTACCTAAGCTATTACAAGTATAGTCACTTCTAACCCAGACCCATCTGACTCCAAAGTCTGCTTTTTACTGCTTTGTATTTCTAATCCTTTCAAAAACTTCCAGGCAAATAGTATTAGCCCCATAGATAAGGGCTCTGAAGTATAGAGGAGGTTTGTGACTTCTCTTAATTTCATGCATATTAATAGTTTCTAAACTAGGAATTGAACCCAGCTCATTCTGATGCAAAAGCCCATGCACTTTGTGATCACTTGACAGAACCACCTCATTTTAGTTGCTGTTGCCTTTTCAGTACAGGGCTTCTACCTTTGGTTAGTTGCCTATTTGATTTGACTTTTGCTTAATAATAAATGCTACAACCCATGGCTGGTGTTTCTTTTTTCCATCTCGCATCTTAAATTTATCCTTTTTAACTTGGTTCAGTCTACCTCTCTTTTCAGTTAATTTTTTGTGCTGTGTGCTTCTATGTGTTTTAAATATGAGGTGTTTTTTTCAGACTTCTTATTGTCTTTTTTTATAAATAAACATTTTAGATCTATTATGTACCTTAATATATTTGTTTTTGTCTCAGACCCACATCTTAGGCAATTTGAGAAATACAATTTGCCCATAAAGCAATTGGACTCTATGCAGTGATATCGAATACCTTGTCTTGTCACTTGTTTGTTGTTGCTTAGTCACTGAGTCATGTCCAACTCTTTTGTAAACCCATGGACTGTAGCCTGCCAGGCGCCTCTGTCCATGGGACTTCCTAGCCAAGAATACTGGAGTGGGTTGACATTTTCTTCTCCAGGGGATCTTTCTGACCCAGGGTTCAAAGCTGCATCTTCTGCATTGGCAGGTGTATTCTTTACCACTGAACCACCAGGGAAGTCCATCACTTGAGTAATCCTTATAGATAAAACTTTGTCTAAAAAGCAGATAAGACGAGCTATAGATCTTGAGTGTATAAAGCAAGTTAAGCCACCGGGTTTTCATTTGGGTCGGTGCTTCATTGATGCTGGTCTCTAGTAGAATATACATTGGACCATTAGCCAGGCTGAATGTATTGTGCTACTAGATGCTGAAAGGGAATAAAGAAAAATGGAAGATGTACTTACCTTCAGAGAGATTACAGCCTTGTTAAGGAAAGGCAAACA